AACATGTGAACAAACTTTAACCTCATGCTTAATTCTTGTCGAATCAGAAGCTACCCTTCGATCATACTAGAGTTTGATCAAATATCTCACAAATATCCACTTTGGATCTAACTCTATAACATCAAGAAACAAACTAGCTTTCTTCATGCAGCTTTATCAACTGCATACATTGGAAAAACTTGCAATTGGACAACGTCTTGGTGATCATATCAATAGAATTATGATCTGTCGAAACCTTCTCCACGCTCGATTACCCGTCTGACGAAATGCAGTCTCACATCAATGTGCTTGGTTCGCTCATGATAGACTGAATTCTTCGACAGGTGTATTGCATTTTGACTATCACAATTAACAGTGACAACTTGACCTTGAAGTTTCAGCTCCTTTGCAAAACCTTCAAGTCACAATGCTTCCTTCACAGCTTCAGCTAGGGAGATATATTCCGCTTCAATGGTAGATAAGGAAACAACCTTCTGAAGTGTTATTTTCCAACTGATTGTTGTCCCAAACATAGGAAACACATATCCAGAAATAGATTTTTTGAAATCCATACAACCTGCATAATTAGAGTCGACATATCCTTCGATTGCTGCTTTACTATCTTCATCCAAGTATCCACCGTATATTAGGATAGTGTTCAGAGACCCATTTATGTACCTTAGAATCCACTTCAATGCTTTCCAGTGAGCCTTCCCAGGATTCACCATATACCTGCTTACAAGACTTACTGCATATGTTATGTCGAGTCTAGCACAGACCATATCATACATCAAAGAACCCAATATATTAGCATATCGAATGCTATTCATATTAGCTCTTTCGACATCAGTATTGGGACACTGATCTATACTCAGCTTGAATTGAGGGTTTGTCGGAGTCACAACAGGCTTTGAATTCAACATATCAAATTTTTCAAGAATCTTACGTAGGTAAGCCTCTTAAGATAAGCATAATTTGGACTGCTTTCTATCTCTTCTGATGTCAATCCCAAGAATCCTGGACGCAGCTCCTAGATTCTTTATGTCGAACTCATTATTCAGTTCAACCTTCACCCTCATTACATCTTCAACGTTGTTGCTTGCTATTAGAATATCATCCACATTGAGCAACAAAATATCAAATGAATTACCTGGTCAAAATTTGAAGTAAACACAATGGTCGAACTGATTTCTGATGAAACTTATGTGTGTCATGAACTTGTCGAATCTCCTCTTCCACTGTCGAGGAGATTGTTTTAGTCCATATAAAGATCTCTTCATTTTGCACACATAATCATCCTTCCCCCTTTCGACATACCCTTCAGGTTGCCTCATCAGGATTGTTTTATCTAGGTCACCATACAAGACTGCAGTCTTCACATCCATATGTTCTAGTTCAAGGTCGAACTGTGCCACCATGCCAAGCAACATTAGAATGGATATGTGTTTCACAACAGAAGAGAAAACATCATTAAAGTTGACACCTTTTTTCTGAGTGAACCCCTTAGAAACCAATCTTGCCTTGTATCTCTTTGACGTCAATTCTTTGATTTCTACCTTAACTTTGAAAATCCATTTACAACTGACTAACCTTGCTCTAGAAGGTTTCTTGATCAGTTCCTAGGTATTGTTATCATGAAGAGATTTCATCTCATCATCCATGGCCTTCAGCCATTCAGTCTTCTTTCGACTCCTCATAACTTCCTTATAGTCTCTAGGTTCTTCGTATAGAACCTCACTTGCAGAGATTAAGGCATAAGCTATAAGATCTACATACTTAAGTCTCTGAGGTGGCTTGATGACCCTTCTAGAACTGTCTTTTGCTAGCAGGTAATCATTATCAGTCTCGTCGTCTTCGACAACAGCTTCTGCTTCTTCTTCGACTTCATCTGGAATACGCAATTCAGCATCAACATGCTCCACCTCAATAGGAACCACTCCCTGTTCCAGCTCTTCGTTAACATCATAAGTTTTCTTGAAAGTCATCTCTGCTTCATTGAAAACTACATCTCGATTAGTGGTACACCTCCTGTGACCTAGCTCGAGGCACCATAGCCTATAAGCTTTGAGTTCTTCAGGGTATCCATGAACATGCATTTCAGATCTCTAGGTTCAACCTTGTCTTGCCTAATGTGAGCATAGGCCACACATCCAAATACTCTCATTCTGTCAAGACTAGTTGGATGTCCCGACCAAACTTTGTCAAGTGTCTTCATTCCCAAGGCAGTCGAGGGACATCTATTTATCAGATAAGCTGTTGTCGAAACAACCTCCGCCCCAAACACCTTCTTCAATCCACCACTAACCAACATGCATCTAACCCTTTCAAGGATTGTTCGATTAAATCTCTCAGCTAAGCCATTTTATTGAGGAGTACCTACTATAGTTTTATGCCTTTCAATCCCAGACTCAACACAGTAGTTGTCGAACGCTTCGTTGTAGAACTCAAGGCCATTGTCAGTTCTCAACCTCTTAACCTTTCTGCCAATTTGAGTTTCGACCAGAACCTTTCAACTTTTGAAATTCTCAAAAGTTTCATCCTTCGTCTTCTGAATGAATACCTATAACTTTATGGAATAGTCATCAACGATGGATAGAAAACACCTTGCACCTGAGTGTGAAACATTCCTTGTAGGCCTCCAAAGATCAGTACGAATGTAATCCAGGGATCCATGTGTTCTTTGTTTGCCTTTGTTAATCTTCGCCTTACAGGATTTACCAAATACACAAGATTCACAAAACTTAAGTTTTTTGACTTTGTCACTTCCTAGAAGTTCTGCTTCCCCAATTCGACTAGGCCTCAAGATTGTGCCATAATTCTGTCTTCAACATAGGTTTCGTGGATGCAACATTTGTCGAACCATTTACAACCTCAGCCTCAAGGGTATACAAGCCTTGTTTCTTCACGCCTCTCAAGACTTCATTCGACCCCTTCGTGACTCTTAGGATACTTTTATCTTCTTAAAAAACATATCCCTTCCTGTCGAATTCACCAAGAGAAATCAAATTTCTCTTCAAATCAGGTACATACCTGACTTCAGTCAATAACCTTATTGACTCATCATAGAGCTTGAATCTCACAGATCCAATACCTGCAATTTTGCAAGATTTTTTGTTTCCCAGCAGCACCGATCCACCATCTTGACCACATATCTCCTCGAATAACTCTCTGTTTGGAGTCATGTGCCAAGTGCAACCTGAATCCATAATCCACTCCTTTCTTGAGTTGCCACTTGAAACTACAAGGACATCAGATGAGTCGAAGTCATCTTGAACAATGGTTGTGTTGCCATTATCCTTACCTCCATGATCTTTTAGGCGTTCAGGGAACACCTTTCTTGTGTGACCCTCCTTCTTACAGTGATAGCATCGAATACCAGATGATTCGCCACTATAAGACTTCTGCTGACTTTTACCTTTCTTCTTGTCGAACTTACCATCATTTTGCAAGAATTTTCTTTTAACGTCCAAACCTTCGCTCACCGTCGAAGGTTTATGCTCCTTTCGTTCATTCAAGTCCCTAGAATATAAGGCTGATTGAACTTCTACAAAGCTCAGGGACTCCTTTCTATACAAGAGAGTTTCTTTGAAGTGAGCATGTCTTATGGGCAAAGCACACAATAGCAACAATGCTTGATCTTCATCATCGATCTTCACATCAATTTTTTCAAGATTAAGAATCAGCTTGTTGAACATATCCAACTGCTCAGCCAACACTTTGTCTTCACTCATCTTGAATGAATACAAAGCTTGCTTCAGGTAGAGTTGATTCACCAGAGATTTGGTCATGTACAAACTTTCAGGTTTCACCCATAACCCCGATGATGTAGTCTCCTTTGATACCTATCGAAGAACCTTATCACCAAGGCTCAACAATATTGCGTTGTGGGCTTTCTCAATCATGTTTGTCTTTTCTTTTTCCATTAACGCATTGTCTATGGCTGCCTATCCCTTTAATGCTTCCAAACAATCTTACTGAACTAGTAAGGCCTTCATCTTCAAGCGCCACAGACCAAAATCGTTCACTCCGGTGAATTTTTCAATCTCATACTTTGTTGAAGGCATCTTCTCCACGCTCACCGCACCAATTTGTTGTGAAAAGGATGCCTTGGAACAAAATATACACGGTTTCTTTATAGACAAGAAACACATAATGATTAGGGTTAACAAAGAAAATAAGGGAAAACAACAAGGATTGGTTATAAACTGTTATTCTTTCCTTTCTCTATCAAACAAGATTACAAGTATACAAGAATAACAAGTAGCCTCTCTCTCTTGAATTAGGATTTTATCTTCCTATTTTTCCTTATGCAAGTTTATAGACTAGCATGCTATTTATAAGAAAACTAACACACTAACCCAATGAGTTTTTTTAACAATTATCCATTACAAGCTAACTTAAATAATTGGATCCTTAACACAAGGCTCAATTCGACATGCTAACAAACCTTGCAATATTGATTAATGCATGTTAGAACAAACTTCGACCACAACACACATTACTCCGACAACAGCATGTGAACAGACTTCGATCTCATACTTAATTCTTGTCGAACCAAAAACTACCCTTCAATCATACTAAAATTCGATACAATATATCACAATATATTTTAGACAACAAATTTACCATTAGAGATTTGAGAGACCTAAAATATTTCTTTGGTTTTGAAATAGCGAGGTCTTCAAAAGACATATCTTTATGCCAAAAAAAAAAATATCATTTGGATCTTTTTTAAGGTCCAGATTTTTATAAAACTTAAATTGTCACGTAAATAAACTTTTACAAAAACAAATATTATGGAACAATTGCACGTAAATAAATTTTTACAAAAACAAATATTATGGAACAATTGCATAGTATTTTATTTTAAAACAATGGATGAAACCTTTGTTTATTATATTCTAATATTCAAAGAGAAACTCTTTAAATAACTAAGTTCTTAATAAAAATTTATATGCGGAGTGCATAAAAATTGTAATGATTGATTTTTTTTTAAAGAGATAGCTTGACCCTTAAATCATTTAATTTATATGTACCTGGGCAACAATGGTGATACCAAATGTGGATTTCCCAAATTGCAATACACTGCTACTCTTTATTATAAGATGAAGTTTTTGAAGCTGGGTCAATATTTTGACCATGACGCCATTTTGTTTCTCACAATGGATTGTGATGAGAACTTCCATTTTTGACACTTTTGCTTTGACCTCAGGAAGAATATAAGTACTTGTTCCACTATTGTTGGGTTTAGCATTTTGTTCGAGCTTTTTAACACGTTCTTGAAGTTGTTTCACATAGCTTCTAGCTTTGTCCAAGATTGAAGCATCGTCCATGATCTGCACATTCATTATAGGAAAATTAGTCTTGGTTTCTATATCGCTTATTTATATATACTTGCTATGAGTTTTTTCTTTCTTATTTTCTAATTGAGTTTATCGCAAAGTTAATATACATTAAAGGTCCGTTTGGTGAATAGTTAGATAAAAATATGATACGATAATGATATAATAGACAATATCATATTATATGTGTAGTGCAAACATGGAAAGAAATATAGTATTATTATTTTATTATTCTAAGTGGCACACTAATATGATATATTTAAATAATAAAATTAACCTATAACATATATTACTTTAAAAAAAAAAATTTAATAATAATTTAATTTGATTAAAACTAAAGAATATAAACAATTTTAAAAATAATTAAATAAGTTTTGATTCATTTTATAAAAACTTATTAACATTACTAACTTATTAATTTGGATTTATTTAAAGAAATTTTGAGTGAATAAATAATTTATTCTAAATTTTAGATATGTCATATAAAAATATATTATATAATATAAGTAAATCACATAAATACAATTGCAAGAAAATTTTATGTAATTTTTTTATTAAAATAATTGATATTAATATATTTGAATTATTAATAATAATTTTATTTATAAATATTTTAATATTATTTTATAAGGATAAATCAATAATTTATTTTTATAAAATTTTTAATAATAATTTTATTTTTTATTTTTATTTATTAAAAATAAATAGTTTTTTTTTAATTCTAACTTTGGGCATGCAGTAGTGTTAAATTTTTTGAGGTAAAACTTTTTCACCTATTCTGGTCTTTTTTGCCTTGAGGGTTAATCTCTATAATTACGTGTAGAGAATACCTAATTTATACTTTGAAAGTAAATAAAAATGGGCAAGACAAATATCTAATAGTTGAATGAACTCTATTCAGTTAATAATAAGTACGGTGAGTATGGATATAATCAAGCGTGAGTCAGCCAAAACTTTCTCAATTTTAAAGAGGTCTATCATAGAACCTTCTTAGCCGATTCTGTAAAGAAGTTGCGATCCTTCCAGAACATTTTCAACACAGAGATCTCATCTTCAGATAACTACAGGGGATCTGAATCTAAGATACATCCAATGGCTCTCAGCGCCTCACGCCAAACAAATAGCAAGTTGTTATTCCCCCTCCATTATATATAGAAAGTGCATCAGTTTCAGGTACTTAATTTCAAAGTAAATTTCAAAATCAATTTTAACTCACTCTTCTCCCTCATATATTGACTTGAACGTTTGAATGCTAACTTTGCAAGTCAGCGTCCTCTCTGCCGCATCGGAAGTTCAGATGTACTATTATCACCAATCTGCATTTTTCCATGATCTCATATCTGTTCTTTGATTCGTCAGTTCAAAGCCTTTCCAACTTACTTGATTTAGAGATCTCAAAGTTGACCACGAAGTCCATCGCGTCTGATCCAATCAAATAACATATCAACTTTAATTTGTTGAAATTTCAAATTTATGACTTCCACACTTCTCGATAATGGGTGGATCCAAAGCTACTCATTTTGTCGTAGCGCACAAAGTTGTTGTAGTCGCCGCTGCTGCTCAAGCAATAATCAACCAATTACGTCCAACTCTTCACAAGGTGTTGGGAATCCAATAGCATAAACTATTCTACATCTAGATCTACATTAATCTCCTCAGATAACGGGATTTATTGCAACGCCTCTGATTGAACCTCAGATACCACCTCGAGTTTCAAAATCAGAAGTTTTGCCTAGTTTGCAACTATTGCAAGACAACCTCGAGATACATTGAGCTGCTGAACAGTAGGTACAACATCGTTAGGAAGTAGAATTCATTCGCAATTGAGGATAAATTACTTCATCTCGAAGAAAGAATGCATAACGCGTTTCCAAGAGGAAACACCACGCAAAAGGCTATGTCAAAAAGAACTCAAATTGTCGTCTCCGAGCTGACCGTGACAAGAAAGATGAAGCTCCAAAATCGCATAATCATTATAGGAGCAAGAAGCATCAAAATACCTAAATCAATGGAGAAACCTCTCAATCTAAGTGAGCATAACAAAAAGGGAGATTCAGATGAGTATGTACAACTCGACAACGATCGGTTGAGTTACTTAAATGTCGACAAAGCCTCCAAGTATAAATTGTCCACACCAACTCTGGTTTGTGCCGGCCAGACTATGGTGCAATGCTTTTTCGTACGAGATTCATCAATCTAGGACGAATTTCTGTGAAAGATTCATCGATCACTTTATTGTCTGAAAAAGGAAGTCAGTGATTGTAGCTTCTTTGAGTGGGACTGAGTTATATCGTACAAGTAATAATCATACAATATAAAACTGAGTTATTATGTTATACTAAATGTGTCGTTGTTAAATAATTGCTTTGTATAACTTTGAACAAATGCATAAAACGTCTTAAAAAAACGCTTTAGTCTATGATTCAATTTGATAATTTCTTCAATAACATTTTTTTTCAAAAACGGATAAACGACAATCAAATCTTATAGTTTCTTTGAGTTCAAAATTTTTTTGTTTTTGTTTTTTCTAGGCTATTTTCACTTAAAGCGTATCAAAACATTAAATATAATTACCACTAACCTAAATCTAAAGATTGATTTGTTGCATTGTTAGAGTTTAAACACTCAATATGTTGATATTTTAATACTATATATATATATATATATATATATATATATATATATATATATATATATATATATATATATATATATATATATATATATATATATATATATATATATATATATATATATATATATATATATATATATATATATACCTTGAAAGTATAACAAACCAAGGACAATGATTTAACTTTCAAGTATTTTCAAATGCATTATTGAATGTGCAAAGTGTGCAGTAGTACTGCTATGCCGACATTATGTGTTTTGTGGTTCTCATTTGTTCTCAATCTAATATAGTTGCAAGTTGGAACTGTGGTCTATCTTGGACCACTAAATAATCAATTAAAACTAAAGGTACCTAAGAATTTGCCCTATAACTTTTGTTTTCTTTTGCTGCATCATTGACATTTTTAACCAAATTTGTTCAAATCCTAAGTCTTATCTTCTACCTATGATGAACTATAAACGGAAAAGAATATCTTTATATTTGATCTCTCTAACTTTTATATTTCTCTTCAAAGTTCAAACTATTAAATCACCTTAATTATATTGCTATATTGTTATTAAATTATCGAATTTTTTTACAAAGTTAATAAATAATTGATTTTTTTATAACTCTATATATAATTATTGTAAAATAATTTTAACTTGAATTTAATTTTTCTACTGATTATTGAAAGCAAGCAAATCTTTAGAGTGTAAAGAATTTTCTTAAATTATGGTTTCAAAATAAAAACAAGAAACAACACAGTTTTATAGTCTACTTTTTTTTTTGTTGAAAATAACTAATATAGTAATAATATATTAATTAACAAGTAAAACAAAAAGAAACGATATCATTGTTTTGAATATAAATATATTTACTAACCTTATTCGAGTCAGGAAGGGTGGCTGAAAGTTCAAGCATCATCTCTGTCAAATTTTTCTCATTAGAATGGTACTCATCATCAAAAGTGGCATCATCAATTAAACCCTAAACCATAAATTTCAACAAATCAGAATCAAAAGAGAACCAAAAATTTTGGTAAGAGTTGAAATTGCATTTTACCAAATCAGGATCAGAAGGCCAATTTTCTCCAGATTCCTCCATTAATTTTGTGGTGAAATGCTATTATAATGATGTGGAAGAAAGTATATTGTTATAAGAAGTGGAGTTGTTCTTATGGGAGAGAGAATGAGAAAGTGAGGATGACATTTATAAATAAAGTGGTGGAAGAGGGTGTAGTAAATTTAGTTGATTTTTCAATAATTTTAGTTTGTTGTTTTCTATAATTAAGTAAATTATTTTGATAAAATTTTTTAGAAGTTTTGTTTTTAGGTTGTTTTGAAATATTTTTTTACAAGTTTTATTATGTTGATTTGTATTTATTTAAATGGTTATGATCGTTTTTAGAGATGTGGATTATCATAAATATTATATTTTAGACTTATATATATATATATATATATATATATATATATATATATATATATATATATATATATATATATATATATATATATATATATATATATATATATATATATATATATATATATATATATATATATATATATATATATATATATATATATATATATATATATATATATCTAACTCGGCCTAATCACTTGTAGTCACATGAGAAGCACAATATGTAACCTCAAATAAGTTTCAGAGAGTTAGGACGCAAGTTCAACACATGGGTGACAACGCCAACCTTGGGAGTGAGTTATCAACCATAGTACTTAGTTTACGAACAGGGGTTATTCCCTCATATATGCAACAAAATAAAAAATCTTCCAGACAAGGCCGAACCGGACCAACTGAGAGTCGGTCAATTCAACCTGCCATTGAAGCGAGGTTGTATTGACCGTGATCAAGTAATAATTGCAAGACTCCTGATGTCTCAAGACTCCTAGTGTCTCATTAGAAGTTGAAGATTTGCAACCCCTCTATAATAACCCGTATAATATATATCTAGAATAATATCATACAAGTGTTAATTTTTGGTGCGGATACAACATAAGAGCCTATTGGCATCATTATATACACGTGTCCAAACTAAATACATCTATGGCACTTGTTATACAATAGTGTCTAAAAATAAAAACTATGATCTATGTACAATCTCTTCATTGCACACAATCCGCAGTTGAAGAACACAATAATCAGAATCCTTCGAAACATCAATGCACAACTCCTCTTGAATATAACCTACAAACAACACTTAAAAAAAGCAACAACAATATTGGGGGTGAGATGATAAACTCAGTGAGTTTCCTTATCCTATGGGTTCACTCGGCTCTACAGGGCTTTCTAGTCGAATCCTAACTCAAGTCTTTATCTTCCGTTACTTGTGTATCACTCATACAACCTAACCAAGACTTAAGTGCCTAAGGAATATCCTCAATGGATGGAAACATGTCACCCGAGTTCTTATAACTCAAATAATCACCATTCAGATTCACGAAATATAAATCCCTGAACGAGCCTAGGTCTAAGCCAGGCTCGGTTCACGCACACTCGTATGATTTGACTTTTGCGGTGGATATCAAACCGTCTATGAGACTCAAACTTAGTTCCAGCGACCATCACTCGTACGAGAGTCGAACCCAATTAGATTATCTTTCACCGTATGGGACTCGAACCAACTTAGGTGTCCGTCCACCTTTCCCCCGTGTCCGCTATGGTTGGGAGTTAAACCCAATTGAGGCACGTATCATTGGTGTCACATCCCATTTACCGCTTTACGTAAGCCTTTGAAGTGGCATGTGCATAAGTCACATCCGAATACGTGATTAGGTCACAACAACAATAGGACTTTTGGAGCAAAACACCTCACTAAATAGGACTTTCAGAACAAAGTTTTCTCACAAAATATCAAACTAATTCTCATGGTGATCATTCAATACAAGGTGATAATATCCACCCATTCATATAGTATTCCACATGTTCCATATAAATTATATTGATTTGTTAATCAAACGAATACTTCTCCATGATACACACCGAGGTACCTTTTCATCCAAGCATCACCACTTATGTCATTTCACAACATAAGTTATCTTTCTAAGTCATTAGTCGAGTATTACTCCTAGGTTTCCTCACTCATCACCATAAGGTTTTAATCATGTTATTTCACAACCAACACAATAACAATGTTTAGCATGCATCATAATAAGTTTCATAACATTCTTAAAGCACATAAGGTAATATAACATGGTACAAGAATCATAGTTAAGCTATTACATAAACTGACTCAATCTATCTTATTCCACTTTCACGTTATAAGGTGAACGTCCATCTGATCATACTATGGTGGGAATAACCAGAATAAAAAGGAAGACATGGTTGAATAACTCATAGAGACTTCTCTCTATATCATATTCCTTTGCGTTCACTTTCAAACATATCCCTTCTCATATTAATTGGAATTATCGTTCTCGTTGTATGGTCGAAATAGGAAAACAATTCATAAATATACATAAGTAAAGGAAATTAAAATCATTTTCCAAAGATAAGACATGCAACCAAGTATCCTGATCACATATAGCTTTAAACAAGCTTTCCAACGCATCCGATTGTGTCTCATTTCGAGTTACAAAACTCAAGTTATGCCACGTTAACCAAAACAAGATTTTTGAAAAAAAAACAGGGGATACAAGCGATTGCCATTTTGTGCAATCGATTGCATCAGGCTTTGCCAAAAGAAAAACAACATTTCTGGGCATGACAATTAATTGATTATTTGTGCAATCGATTTTTACTAAAGAATTTCTCAAAAATACTAGTTTTAACATTATTTTGGAGATGCAATCGATTGTATGACCGTATAATCGATTGTCAGTGCAATTTTTCTTAAAAATCACACTTCTAAACACGTCTTCTTCCACCTTAACAACACTAACTCATTCCCATTCATACACTGACATTAAAACATGGTTCCAACATCAAGAACCAACAACAACAACAACCTCAACATAGCACAAACCCTAATCCATGATAACAACACTAAACATAACATGAAGAAAAACATGTATTAACACACAGAAGCAATGAGAAGTATGAACAACAATAAGTTCATATGAATCAACAACATAATCCACAATGTTTTTTCTTGTACTTATTTATAAAGGTTAGTCTCTTTTAATAAGGATTGATCTCTTTAGAGTCCACTGGTTACTCTATTGGTCCCAACTGACAACATTTAAAGTACACAAGAGCTCAAATGGTTCCTACTGACAAGAGAATATAGTACATGGGAACTCCGTTGGTCTCAACTGACAACCAATTAAGAATTTAAGGGAATATGGGATATTATACCCTATTTACCAAAATCTGGGACGCTTTATTCTCATAAAATTGTAAGTAGCCCCCTTGTGGCGACATTCAATGGAAGGAGAGACCTTAAGATCATACCGCCTTCAACACGGAGATGATGGTCATAGATGTGTTTGACTCACTTAAATGAAAGCTCTTATCTGAAATCTTAAAAGATCCAACCATACATTGCTCAATGAATCTTCCCATATTCTTTGTAACCAGCTATCAAGAGTATCCTAGAAACCGGTCCAAATAGTTCTTGGCTAACAAACAATTCAAGGTGTTAAACACAACTCTCATCATAGTGTGTCAAGGGCTCTTTGAGCCTTTATGTGATTACTTGGCACGTTTCGATGAAGCCACTATAAAGGTGGAAAATCCTAACATAGAGATTTTTGAAGGAGCCTTCTAGAATGGGTTAAGAGTCAGACATTTCAACGAGTCCCTTGCTCAAAATATTAACATTAAATGGAGGGGATAATAACAAATGCAGAATGTTAGAAGACCCAACCATACATTGCTCAATGAATCTTCCCATATTCTTTGTAACCAGCTATCAAGAGTATCCTAGAAACTGGTCCAAATAGTTCTTGGCTAACAAACAATTCAAGGTGTCAACCACAACTCTCATCATAGTGTGTCAAGGGCTCTTTGAGCCTTTATGTGATTACTTGGCACGTTTCGATGAAGCCACTATAAAGGTGGAAAATCCTAACATAGATATTTTTAAAGGAGCCTTCTAGAATGGGTTAAGAGTCAGACATTTCAACGAGTCCCTTGCTCAAAATCTTAACATTAAATGGAGGTGATAATAACAAATGTAGAATGTTAGGTAAATAGAAGGGAAAAAAACTCAAGAAAATACCCATAAACACAAATGAAAGAAGCATGGGAAATAGGAATCTTACATTCAATGTAAGAATAATTTTCCAAAGCAAATTAGAGACTAGGGGATCTTCTAACCTCCCAAAACTCTTATGGAAAATTACAAACCTCTAAATAATAATTGAGAGAAAATATGTTGAGAAGTATTTCACACTAGATCCATCATTAAACCCTTGGCCCCTAGATGAAAGGTTATGGGAAACGAACACAATCAATAGTGTAAATACCAATAGGTTAAAGGTGGTCATAAAGATGATTTCCCCTATGTGAAGAAGAAGATAGAGCGCCCCATTCAGGAAGAGCATTTCATAAGGTATGTCTTTGATGCATCATTAAGTTTTGGGGCAAGATTTTGACTTCTAGTTGCGATAGACCTAGAAGCCCCCAGCCTAGGAAAAATAAGCACTACAACAAATAATGCTTTTCATGACAAAGCTCTCACCTCGAAAAATAGAAAACTGAGGTATAAAGTCAAGGTGCATTATTTTTATTATTTAAAAAAAATTTTAAAAACCATAAATTCCCTTGGTTTTTCATAACATCAAGGTGAAAAAACAACTCAGTACAAGCTTCGATTCCCAGATATCACAGTTTATGATTTTATTTGTTTATAAGTGTAAACAAAATGTTCTAACCCTTAAGTTTTCTATTTAACTGAGGCATAAAATAATAAGATTTTACTACAAAAGCACTTGGTAAAAAATCTTAAGGCTTTTACAATTACAACCTACAACAGAGAATCCGCATATTACAATAGAGTTGATAATCGCTTGATCTGACTACTCCTTCATCTGAAGAATCCTTGTTAAGATTTAAACTTGAATCTTTAGCCATATTTATAGCCTTTGCAGAAACTAGTTGCTGGAGAGGTAACTTGATCAAGTGTCTTTGCCTTTTCC